GATGCTGGACTAGATGGACCACTGATCTGATCCAGTAGGGCTCTCATGTTCTTACATACACAGTCCCATTATTCTCATTGCTAAAGTGTTCTGGTTGGACAATATTCCTGTCATACACATTGCTAAAGTGTTCTGGCTAGACAGCATTCCTGTCATACACATGTCTGCTAAGTCACACTTCCCTTCACTGCATCTGGTAAAATAACACCATACAGCAGAAATCAGTTGGAGGATGCTGGATTAGCTGGACCACTAGTCTGATCCAGTGGGGCTCTTCTTATGGCTTTGATTGTTACTGCCATAACTCTGGATGAATAGTAAATCATATTGATATAACATTTACTTATAAATAACCTTTTAAAAAGCAATCCAAATTGCAATAATCAGTTCTCCTTTCCACATTGTTTCCCCAAAAATAGTTACTGCAAGGCTATTAGATAAAAAAAATCAAATTCTGGGCCCTGGAGACATTAAGCGCCTCAAGAGAGGGGGTTCTCAACCCTGCCTTGGAATAAGTGGTAGTGAGTCCAGCTTGGCCCATTGGCTCCTGGCCTTTGAGTTCCACCATGTACCCCAAACATATTAAAATTTACATGAAACTTCTGGGAGAGGCCATTTGGAGATTTGGGCCAGGTTGCCACCAGTAATCAGATGATACTCAGCTCTATCTCATGCTTCCAGTGGATCCCAGGGAGGCTGTGAAAACTGTGAATCAGTGCCTTGAATGAGTTTTGGGATACATGAGGGCTAATAAGCCAAAACTTATTCCTGACAAAATGGAGGTGCTGGTGGGTAGAAAAATTAAGGTATCTCTTGTTCTGGATGGGGTTGCTCACCCCATAAAGAATTATGTCCACAGCTTGGGGATGCTGCTGGATCTTCTGTTAAACAGGTAGCAGTGGTGGCCAGGAGTGGCATCCACCAGGTTTGGAAAAAAAGAGATCTTGCTATTGTAGTGCATGCCCTGGTAACTTCTAGATAAGTCTACTACAATGCATTGTACATGGCACGGCTATATCACTCCCACCTACACTGGTTCCCAGTCAGCCTCTGGGCTCAGTTCAATGTGATCACATTGACCTTTAAAGCCTTATGCAGATTTGGACCAACATCTCAAGACTTACTCCCATATGAACCTTCCCAACCACTGCAGTCATCTTCAGAGGCCTTTCTTTGGGTGTCCTCTCCATCTGAGACTAGATGGGTAGCAACCCCAAAAAGGGCCTTCTCAGTCATGATACCAAAATTATGGAATCTCCTCCATAGAGAATTTGTCTGTTGCTCTCTATCATTGTCTTCCACTGGCAGTTGCACCTTATCTGTTTCATCTGGAGTTTCCTCCATGGCCCCCCTTCCCTGTTTATGTCTTTTGTTTTAACTGACGTTTTTATGTATGTATTTTTAAAAGCTTGTTTCAATTGTTTGCTACCTTGGAGCCCCTAAGTAGCTGGAAATGTGGCATTAAAATATGAGAAACATCATGAAAGACAAGTCAGGGGTCTGCAGTGGAAAGGGGGAAATGGTTTAATATGCTTTATGCTTTATTTTCCATTAGCAGAGATCTATCACAGGACCCAATCCATTCAGTGAAATCACAGACACAAAACTGTATCATCTCTCTCCTCCACTTATCACTTCAAAGCACTCTATACCAATTACGGAAATAATCCATAAACATGGGCATGAATCCACAATGTTGAAACATACACAAATGTTGGACCACAAAATATCCACTTGCAGTAGCCATTCTGTTAATCTGCATGACTTGTTCCACAATGGTTGTGTGTTATCTCTTAAATATGCTCCATGGGCAAAAGGTTGAAACAACTTCCATGTTGGATGGTGCATTTTATTTACTGTGCTAGCAATCTATGAACTAATTAAAGAAGATTACTTCAGTTAAAGCAATCATTTCCCATCATTGTTTATGGGACCAATATCAGATACAATTCAGGTCTCTGATTGAACTGATTTCAGAAATGGACAGTGACACACACAAATAGTTCAAAAGAACGGATGAATCACACAAGAAAGCCCTGCTGGAGAAGACTAGTGGTTCATCTAGTCCAGCATCCCGTGTTACACCGAAGCAAGCCAGTTTCCATGGAGAGCAACAAACAAACTATGAGCCAAGCCCTTCCCCTTTTGTTGCCTCCTAGCACAGGTATTCAGAGTTTGTTGCCTCTGACTATGGAGGTTACATTTAGTCTCTTTAGTTGCTCTGAGCCAATACAGTCTACACAAATTTGCATAGCCCTGCCTGGTGCAGGAGGAGGCCATGACATAACCAGTTTGGATTACTTCCCCCACTGAAGGAGAACAAGTTAACAGCTGAAGCTCTAAACAACTCTAACTTTCTGGAACAGGCACCATTTTAGGTGCCAGATAGAAGGTACATTTTTTAAAACAGCATTGCTTCAGTGCCCATTAGCATTTCCTCCCCAAGTCTGCTGGACTGAAATATTTGGATCTATATAACCTGCTGTTTTCAAGGGACAAAGCTAGCAAGGTGAAAAATGTATTAATTTTTTAAATTCATAGAGCATTCATGACTCAGCTTGTTCTTCAAATTTCTGCTTATAAACAAGCCGCAAAGTTGGATTCAACCATTTTTTCCAGTTTTTTTTATTAAAAGCCAATACAAAGAAAGGTATGGAACCACTATCAACAAAAGCATGTTCTTTATTGATTAGCACACATGAAGAATTTGGGATTGGTTAAAACATGCAGACACTGGACTTACAACATTATGTCTTTGATTTCAAAGAAAACTTTTCAAAGATGCCTTTAAAAGGTTTGTATCTCCAAAAAGTATGGATACGTGTACCAACATTAATGGGAAAACTGCTGAAATAAATTACTGACTCAAACAAAAGCTATCCACATTGCAAAATTGTTGATTAAAATGCACAGAAAAGACTATTGACACTGTTCATAAAGGGACATGAACACATCTTCCTTTGAAAATAAAGCTGTACTTTCAAGGCAATTTTATTGTATTTTGAACCAACATGGAACACAAGCTATACAGCATGTACAGACTCTTTCAACAGGTACCCTTCCCAGTACTTCCTCAAGATGTAAAACTAGCCAACTTTACACAATCTTAATGGAAACAACATTGTTTAATTATCTCAATGTTACTCTGCAATAAAACACTGGACAATTTTTAACACATGATGATCTGACAATAAGGTACAATTCGTATACAGAGCTAGATAGTTCTAATTGTGTACCCTCGTACACAATCTGGCTCCCAAACTAGGCAAGCCACCACAGCATTTCTGCTGATGCAAGGATTTCTGTCCAAACAGTGTGATTTCCCCTCCTCATTTCCCCCATTCTGCTGCAGCCTAAATGCTGCTCTCTGGTTGGAACAGAAGACAAAGGTGCACTCCGTGGGACAGAAATGCTTCAGTGGATCCAAGCCAACAGATTTCTGCATACAATGGTTACTTGGGAACAGTGTTATATGTGCAGTCTTAATTCTTACATATTTTTATTTGACAGTAGCCAGCTATTATTTGTGGTAGACACTCACTTCCTCCTGCCACTTCTTTCCTTCCTCAAAGCAGAGTAAGAAGTGACTAAAGATATTCCTCCCCTCCCACAATCTTCTTGCATATACCAAAAGACTCCAGGACCACTCTCCCTTTGTACTGAGCTTTTGCAGCAGGTAGATGCAGCGCACAGTGAACGATCCTTTCCTCTTCAAGTCCCCCCCCCCCATTCATGGAGATCTCAGGGAGGTAACCTTTGCACTAGACTTCAAGGCAAGATGCAGATTTAGGGAGAGGGGCATCACTGCTGGTGTGCCGACAACTGAATGTGAGTACTCCTACATGGAACCTTAAAGCAACTCTGAACTGCTATACATAATCCCCCTGGGTGTGGCCCTCCCTTATTATTCAGATTAGAGGACAATCACAAGACAAGCCATGATCTTGGACCAATGAATACAGTCTTAATGTGAGTCAACCAGAGTTTCATTAAATCACAGCTTTGGAAAATGCTTAATGTGACCTGATCACCACTGGAAACTGCACATCCAGAATGACAAAACAGCAGCTAGCCACACAAATATCTCACTCAAGAGGGGTTTTTTTTGCAGGGAAGGGTGCTTTGCAATGGGATTTTTAAGTGCATTAAATCCTCCATATATTCAGGAGGAGGGAAGCCATCCATGTTTTTAAAAATGAATATGTAAACTGGGTCTTTTCACTGAAATGACTGGGTAAGTGTACAATAGAACTTGTACTCCATTAACAGTGGATTGATAGGGTAGTATAAAGTAGCCCTCAATTACTTGTGATTTATATGACCACAAATCTATCTTGAGACATTAACTGTTGACCCTGAGATTCTTATTTTTAAGATCTGTTATGCTACCATGGTTCTTTGTCTTGTTTCTTTTACAAAAGTTAGGGTTCATCCTTTGCAACATGAATTTCTCATATAAAATGTTCTTGCTCTAATCCTGCATCTATTCAGCAATCCATTTCTCAATTGAAATAATAATCCATGAGATTAAAGGTGAATGTTTGAATGAGCTAAATATTTTATCAGCACAGCATTACAGAATGTGTTAAGATCATGCTAAATAAGTGGAAAGAAGTCAACCTATGAATAGACTATTTCCAAACTACATAATGGGATATAAATAAGGTTTGGGGTGTTTTTTAATGGCTGTTAGCTAATGCAGCATGAAGTTCTTCTGTAGTTCAAGTCTTACCAAGTCTGAAGAAAAAAGCCCTCTTGCTTCAAAATTGCATTTACATCCTTAAAAAATGTCTAAAAACAAAAAGTGTTATCTCCCCTACCTCCCACCCAAAATAAATACTGAAATTCATACCAGTTTATGCAAACCAGGTTTGGGAAGAATACAATCTAAATTAATATGCATCAAGAAAGCTCCCTGAAATTCAAGTCAGACGAGTTGTCACTGGAAGACAGAACAATATTAAAAGCCAACAGATCTCCTCAACTGAAAAACTGTTGGGTTTCTTCTTGCTCCCCCTCATCCCCCCACCTTACTGGAAGCACTGGCATAGAACGTTATGGCACATTATCCATTTCCAGAAGCTATATTGCACTCAACATTTACTTTAGTTGTTGAAGAATCACAGTGTTCAGGATATCAGCTTCCTCTAGCGTTAGGCTTTCATCTGTAAGTTCTTTATGGGGAAATGTAGTCAGAAGAACAAAGTCAGTGGTTGCAAATGAAGGACGAGACTGGATAATAAAATTTCGAATATCTAAAATCCTGTTGGCAAGTATAGAAGAATTTACATTTTAGTCTCTGAATCCATTTAAATATTTGCTGCATTTGCCTGGTACCCTTTGAAAAAGCATAAATGCATTTTTACTGTAAACACCAATGATGCCCTTTACATGACAAGACTAGATAATAAAATGGAATTAAGATCTACTGGCACAGTCAAAAGTTAAACAGTTACACATTAGCTTACCTGTGCGTTTGATTAAATCTTTGTATTAAACGGCTTCCGTCTGCAAGTCTAATTTGAATTTTGGTTGTTGGCATGGAGTCATCAACCAAAGCAACAGCATCAAGAAAGGATTTTTCTTCTTCTTCGGGTGAAGAAGGTGTACTGACAATCTCAGGAGTAAGGCTACAGCAATTGAAGCAAAAAGTTATTTCACTAAAGGACAATGTAAAACGTATACAAATATGTTCTACTGAAATAAAAAGGAATAACCTGTAACAAAATATACTCAGAAGCAATGCTCCCTCTAAGCTATGGAGTCTTGTGAGCAAAAATTCTACTTTGTGAGTTACTGACATTAAAGTTGTGAGCGAGCGATTTTTGGCTACCACATAAGTTTGCTTTGGAGCCATCCTTCCTGAGCTAAGACAAAAATGTGTGAGCTGGAGGCTAAAAAACTGTGAGCTACCTCCCACTAACTCAGCTTAGCGGGAACACTGCTCAGAAGTTTGATGAAAGATATCTTCTAAACATGGCCTTACTTTACTATCAATGTGGATCCAGAGTTAAATTTGCCTGCCCTCCCATATGTATAAAATGCTGATGATGGGAGATGAGAATTCTAAGGAAAAACATGGGAGGGGCCTGCAGTGGGAAGAGGGAACTGGTGGAAATCGCAAATTTACCATCGCAAACCAACCCATCATTTGTATTTCAACAGAACATAAATATCCACATTTTATGCCTTGAACCAGGTTAAAGTCATACACTCCTTTTGGGAAGAGGTTCTGGGGAAAATACATGAAATCACAGCACTACATTTACTGGTTTGTCCCAAAATGGCACTTCTTGACTTAGTGGACGCAATCCCTACTACTAGTCCTCAGAAAGATCTCATTTCTAAACTTCTGGCAGCAGCAACATTAACCATAGCTGCTGGATGGAAAGTCAGTTCGCCTCCTTTGATACAAACATGGTTTGACAAAATTTGGGATCTGTGTTACTGTTAATGCAACATTGTCTTTATTTTTGCTTTCCTTTACATCTGATCTTTCTTTGCCCTCTATCTTGTTAGAGGAATAAAAATTATTATTATTATTTTTTTGGGGGGGAAGTCATTGGTTATATTCCCATGCCAACAAGCAAACTATCCATCTCTAGTGCCCTGGAGGATATTTCACACAGGCCCTAGGGACAGCAGGCATTAGATGCCTTTGGCAGAATGATGGGAAAGATACAGGAATTTTGTGGAATAGTCAACTCAATGAAAAGAAGAAACAAGAGACAATATGGTCAATAGGGGACCACAGTAGGCAGTGGACTGAAAGGACTGTGGGCCAGGCAGATCTCTGAAGAATACAGTGGCAAATGAGGCAACATTTTGAGAAAAGAAGTTACATAGCGGAGAAACTTCCCACAAAGTCTAGGACAGAAGAGTTATATGCTGTTGGAGGGAAAGGAAATGATAGGAATTGCTAAGGACTAAGCCAAGAAGCTGAGCATTGCTCAAGCTAGTGTGATGTCATAGAGTAGTCAATAATCTAACTTCAAAGGCAGGAAGAAGGTGTCAATCTAGAACTTTAACAGTATAGCTTTGGCAAAGGAAGTGAAATTGTCAGTTTGATTGGGAAAAAAACTTCACATGGGATCCTGTGACAGTAAAAACTACCTACTGCTGCTAAATAATACAGAAGGAAGTATTTTTGCTTCGACTGTTAATGGTAGGATGCACAAGAGTACTGATGTGGCTCTTTTGTATAAATAATAAGGCAAATTTGTAACAGGCAAAGACATTTATACGTTTAAATTCTCAGCCGTAACTGAATTTTTGATATGTTTATTTTAAGGGCAAATGTAGTTTAAAAGAACTTCTGCCAAAGAAGCATACAATTCCATCTGGCTTTGTTCTAGCATCTATTCTAATAGAATAAATTTGATTCCATCACATAAAACAGATCTATTTGTAAGTTATATTAAAGGTGGACAAGCTCCCTATATTGTAAAAAGTCTCCATATAAACCATTACTTAATATATCTAAAACCAAGAAAAAAGTCCACCTTAAGAAAGTCTCTGGCTAAACAGATGAAATGCTATTTACACAGCCTGGATCAGTTAATCTAAACTTCAACAATCACAGAGAGAATCTCCTTTCAGTCTTATTTTATGGACTATAGCCTCCCCTAGGAGCCTTTGGTAATAAAAGAAGCCCAGAACTGTGTAAATTAACTGATATAACAGACATATTTTAGTAGATACTGCAGACCACATTTTTAATACTACTAATAAAGCATAGTCAGCAAAGTTTTAAAGCAACCTAAAGAAAGTGTGCTTCATCATCAACAGAATTAGAACTCCAGCTTTTGTGTTAACTAAAAATTACTAACCCCAAATCTTATTTCACAAGCTGGCGAGGTCTGCATATGCAAAGGGGATAGGGTTGCCAAATCGGGATCGTCCGAGAGCGGGGGGCTCCCGGACGATCCCGGATGTGTGCACGCGCAGCGCGCGCGCAGCGTGCACATCACCCGGAAGTGATGTCACACGCTGGGGGCGGGGCCACGCGATTTGAGGGGAAAACTCTTTGTTTTCCCCTCAAATCGCGTGGGCCTGCCCCCAGCGTGCGACGTCACTTCCAGGTGACGCGCACGCGGGGGTGGGGTTTTCCCCGGGCCCCGATTCCGGCGCGCCGGGAATCGGGGCTCCGAAACGGGGGATTCCCCGCCCCCCGGCTGCATTTGGCAGCCCTAAAAGGGGAAGTGCTTGTCCAGATACTTTATTGGACAGAATGGTCTATGGTGTTGTCTACTGCAATCATCAATTGTAAACTGAAAGGTATGACATACTTTTTAAAAAGACAATTAAAGATTAAAACGAATAACCTTCCAAGCTTCTGGCCTTCTCCACTGAAAGCTTTGAATCTCAGTCTAGGCCTAATATATTCTTGCTCCTGGTGATCTTCCATATCTAAATTTACTTGGCCTCCATGCACCAATCGTTGAAGTTCTACAGGAATCTCTCTGGATGACAGAAGCAAAACCAGTAACAATCAATGTTACACAGGACCACAGAATACAAATTGAAGAGTGTGGGCAAAGAGAATTGCTGTAACCCTAATTCTACTGCAAAGTATAAACACATATATCTTATTCAGAAGAGTAAGCCCTGGCTTAAATTGTCAACATTTTAAAATACTTAAAACTATTTCCCATGTTGTTTTAACAATGAGACGAGGTGTTCAACTGTGGCTGGATCACATCCTTTATATATTATATTAGTAATTCGACGTAACATCAGATGTAACAATTTTTTCTAAATCTTCATATACACCCCACAATATGAAAGAAGTAGCTAGTTTTTTTAAAAATTATCAGTATGATGGAAATATAATGAGGGAAGTCAGTGAGAGGGGTAGGAGAAAGAGGAAGAACTATACATGCTTTGCTCACAAGCCACATGTTGTCACTGAAATTAACTGCAGTTGTTGTTAAGATGTGAAACTTGGCATAGGATTGTTACTGTTGGGAATATAATACTAACAGCCTTGATCTGCTGTACATGTAAGTATGGCATTTTGGTCTGATATTTCTTCAGTTCTACATGTATTAACAAAAATTATGAAAATTCATTTTTGATGTTATGAGTCACAAAACTGGCACCATAAACTTACCCTCTTTTAACAGATTCAAGAAACTCGGCATTTACTGGATCTGCATAAGATCTCAGCTCTCCGTCATCTAAGCTGAAACCATTCCGCCACAGTTTTAGCAATATTTGAACCTATCAATAAATCAGATGTATTTTGGAATTGTATATATAATATATCAGACACAACTTTTGTATGTTCATGATATATAATTTATTTATTTTATAATTTGAATTTAAAAACTGCCCTCCCCTGAGTACACAGGACTCAGGGCAGTGGACAACAAAGAGTAAGAACATTTATAAATAATAAGATAATTTAAATGATACATAAATAATAAAATAGATAAACCATTCTCAGATGGTGCAACATTCCAATTGTGTGCCTGCCTCGAGGAATGGGGTAGAGAAGCAGGGAAAATTAAAGGAAAGAGGGAATGCCAGTGAGATTGTACCCATCACCCGGCAGTACATCTCTGCCTTGCAAGCTCTGTGGAATTGCATTAAGTCCTGCAGGGCGCAGTTGTTATTCAGCAGAGAGGTCCACCAGGTGGCGGCCAGGGCAGAAAAGGCTCTGACTCTAGTTGAGGACAGCTGGATGTCTTACAGATGGATGGCTATCAGAAGCATGTCTCAATAACTACATTCTGATTCTGTAAAACTAGCTCTAAAACTTATATTCCTTATTCCTTTTCTCCAAATTGTTCCCTTACCATCTCCATTAAGATATTTTCCTTCACATTAAAAGGTATAAAGAAATTTACATTTCTTCCTGTTAAGAGTTCAGATACCTGCCACTGGGGCTACTATCAATGGTTATATAAAATGATTTTGTAAAATATACACTATCCAGTACTAAGTGCTACCCAAGAGAAGCCCATCTTGCAGCCAGTTTCTGTAACTACCCTTCAGGCAGAGATGGTTTATGAAAGAGAGGTTCTTTGGTGGCAGCATCTATGATGTATAGTCACACCTTCATTGGCATTGAAAGCACAAGACATCATGGAAATACGGGAAAATACTAAGATGTGCTATTCAAGGCCTCTTCTTCTGATTGCATAATATGAAAATTTGCAACAGCCTCCATTATTTTGCAATTAGAATTAAACAGAAGAAAGTGAACAATTGAGTCATCAGAATGCCAGCTCTTACCCTCTAGAAGTGGAGTTATAAAACAAGATCGAATATCCCTATAAAGGGGGCAATGAAGTATGGTGTGTGCTGTGGATTCTATATCTTTTAGATAACAAGGACAAAGTCTGTCTACATATGGTAACTAGCGGTACCTCCCTAAAAGCACCTTTGATGGCAGAACATTAAAGCGTGCAAGCATGTATGCTCTGCGATGGTATGGGGCTGTTAAACTTAACAGATATTTCGCAGTAGAGCCCATGTCAAAAGTCCCCAGCCTACTTGGGGAGCATCTGCTGGCCGCGCATTCCCTAAATTCTTGCGTTTCGATGTTGAGAAATCTTTGTTTAATAATAGCATAAGCTTTATTTATCTGAAAAGGGGGCTAAATAATCCAGGGATATTCCCATTGTAGAGAGTTTCTCCTCTACATATTTAAGCCATAGAGAGAGATGGGACTCAGTTAACATGTGAGTAATAATACTTTTAGCTTTAGCATGGAAATGAAGTTTAAGCCAAAACTAAGTTGTTATCAGCCATGCTCTGGTTGATAGAAGCCTTTGACTGGTTTCTAAACACAAAGCTGCATAAGGAACACACGAGGGAAGTCCAAGAATTTTCCGCAAAACTCTGGACTGAATTCTTTCCAAGTCCCCTTTTAGGGTTTCAATCCAGATTGATAACTGAGCAGCTAATTTGGCATTAAGGGCCGCCGGCACATACTGGTTTCCCCTGGTATAATGGAAATGTGTAATCGCCGCAGCAATGTTGTTCGCTCCCTCAGTTGCTCTCTCTTTATGATAGACCCATCTGGTGTTATAGTAAAAGTGGATACCGAAATACCTAAAGCTTTTGACTTGTTCAATGAAATGGCCTCCAATATTCCATCTGGACGGTTTCGAATTCTTACTGAAGATCATAATTTTGGATTTTTCAAAATTCAGAACTAGCCTATTCTTTTCACAAAAGTCTACAAAGCTCTTCAAAAGGCATTTCAGCCCTTTACAAGTTAGGGACAATAGCACTGCATCATCTTTTCATACTATGTTTGTATTGTATGCTGGTCTTAAAACCGGAATAATAAAACTAACTAAACGATAAATGTTATAAATGAATAAATAATATAGTGGTGCATGGCATTATCAGCATAAAGGAGTAAAGGGGTGGGGATTGAGCCAAGTTTAGGACTGTGCCCACTGATCGGATCTAAGGTAGGTGCCAAATAATTTATAAATAAGTTGAATAAAAAAGGCGCTAAAAGGCAGACCTGTTTGACTCCTATATTAATTGGAATTTTGTCAGGTCACCAACGTTGTTAAGCCTAACTTGGCAGGTCGTATTATGATGAAGCTTCATTATTAAATGTAAAAGCCTCGGTTCCATCCCCATCAACTTAAGTTTCTCCCATAGACGTTCTTTTATGATTGAATCAAAAGCACCTTTTAGATCTAGAAAGGCTGCGTATAATTTGGTGCCTTTTTGCCTCTTATTCTTATTAACAAGGTGCATTTAGGGTGGATTCCCCTTTACAAAAACCTATTTGTTCTTGACCCAGAATTCCTTGTTCTGACATCCAAGATCCAAGTTTGTTAACCAGTCGTCTAGCATAAAGTTTCCCAATAATAGAGAGGAGGCTTATTGGATGATAATTGGATGGTAACTGATAATTACCCTTTTTAAAAATGGGAACCAGTATTGCATTTGCCCAAGACTCTGGCATTATTCCCGTTCTATCGACTATGGTAAAGAAATCTGCCAAGAAGGTAGCCCACCAGCCTGGATTTATTTTAACTATTTTGGGTGGAATTCTGTCTGGGCCAGGGGCTTTTCTTGGCTTTAGCTGTTCAATAAGTGGAATAACCTCCTCTGGTCTCACTGGGGGCCATTGGGGGATATCATCTAATTCTGATGCCATGTAGTTAATGGAATTAGTGGAAGTTATGCTATTATCATAGAACAGCTTCAAAAAATAGTCATACCAGTGAACTGGGGTGATGGCGTTTATTTGGGCACTCTTTGTTTTATGTTTATCTGACACCAATGCACAGAATTTCCTGGAGTCATTTGACAATGTTGCCTGAAGGAGGTTAACCCATTGTTTCTCAGTGTGCTCTTTATATTTTATCTTAACTATTTGACGTAACTGGTTTTTTAAACTGAAATACTCATCTGGAAGGTGAGTCCAGTTATATTCCCTAAAAAGGAAGTAAATTAATTGGATTTCGTATTTAATATTATAGCATTTGCTATCAAACCATCCAACTGTATTTTTTTGGTTACAGTAGTTTCAGGGCACCAATTGACTTCCAAGAGATTCCAGTAAATAACTAATAGTTTTATCATAAACCTGGAAAACTTGGGTAACATCTCCATTTTGACTCAGAGCTACACTAAGTTCAACTAAGATGTTAGGATCCAAAACGTTGGTCACCTTTTCTGCAACAGTAGGAGACCAAACAATTCTAGGCAGTCTATTCATCCCCAGAGATAGAGTGGAGGTAGTGCTCATTGGGCATTTCAGGGGATGCTGCAGTTGAATAGTCAAGGTTAAAGGCAAATGATTGCTTTCAAGGCGATCTACAACCCCAAAGCAGCTTATGTGGGCCTCCATCAAAGGAGAGATTAGAATATAGTCCACTACACTACAGCCTATGCATGATGCAAAGATGAATTCCTCTGGGTAATCAGAAGGGAGCTGACCATTCAAGATGATGAGATCGAACCTAATGCAGAATTGAACTAAATGCACCCCTGTCTGATTTACATACATATCTTTGGACAGTCTCGTCTCAGAGAGGCACGTAGGTTTTGAATCATTAGCATCATAGCCCACTCTATTTGCAATATCTATATTGTCTTTCCCTATTCTTGCTATGGTATATAGTAAAGAATTCCGTTCTCCGGAAGGTAACTTACATCTTGCCCATGCTGATTTTCTCCATATATGTATTCGGAACGCTTTCTAGACGAATTGCCCAATCTGTATCCACCACCAGAAAATGACTAATAAAATATTTAAAATATAAATCTGTATTAGAAAGCAACAATACTGAGTTACACTTACTTAACAGTTAAATTTTACATTGTATGAATAGGATCATTGTCATTATTAACCACAGCATACGTCCTTCTACTGTACAGTTAACAAAGACAAAGTTCTGATGTATACAATTCCTAATGAGTCAATTAAATAAATACTTTGTTTCTGTTCCACAACATGAATATTTTGCTAAGTATTTTTAGTAGCTGGAACAGAAAGATCTGGCAAAAAAATCAACAACAGACTAACTACAAACATGATTAAATAATGTAATTAAGTAAGCATAATGTAATATTTTCAGTCTTGGTGACATTTGGCCATCCTCCTTCATAATGAGCACATTGGCTTGAACTCAGTCATTTAACACAACAGCTAGATTAGACCAGGATTCCTGCAATAGACACAAATGCTTAATTTGAGACATCACATTGTATTGTGGTTTTGCAAACAAATAGCAAACCAGAATGAGAAGCCTGTTTGAAATGGGTTTGCAGCCTGTGGTTTGGCACAACTTCTGAACTAACATTACTCTTCAGAGTGGGAAGTTACTAAGCTGAGTTCTAAGTGTACAGAAAACAAAAGCAGAGAAAGAGATTTAAACCTTGGTTTACTTGTACACAGACTTTGAACCTGTGGATTTGTGTTCAAAGCTATAGTTAGGACATGGCATTTATTGGTGTGATGTCTCAGCTGAGCTGACCCAAATGTGATAGGTAGTGAGCTGCTAATTGGCCACAGGTCCCTGATGCACATTTTCTGTGTGCTTAGCAACATATTATTGACCTTCACAACTCCATTTTTTACTGCAGGAAGTAAGGCTATCGTATACACTATGAAAGAGGTTTCATTTTGTCCCTCCTGCAAGGAGATGGCTGCTACAAGCAGTTTCCAAGGCCATAATTTACCTATTTTGATTCTCATATATTGGAATGATGTCTTGACCCCTCAACATCTATGCTAGGTCCAGATTTGGGAGAGATTGGGATATAAATATTTTAAGTCTTTTAAATAAATAAGCACCCACACTCTCACACTAAGTGTAATCCTAAACAGATACACCCTTCTAAGCCAATCGATTTCAGTGGGCTCAGAAAGGCATAACTTTGCTTAGAAGTGCACTGCAATTTTAGTTTTTAAAAAAGTGGAAATAACCAGGCATACCTGCTGCTATTTACCACTTGAAAGGAAGAATGCTCCTTCCCCCTAATCTCCACCACTAATAAAGATCAGGATGTTAGCATCAAAATATAATCATTTAAAAGGAAGCATGCTTTCATCTGCAAATTCAGTTCATGTTTTATGATGAAACCATTTAAGCACAATTATTTAAAAATAAGAAAATCAAGTAGCCTACTTTTATAAATGACATTAACATTTGCTAAGTAAAACACTGGATTAAAATGTCTTCTCCTCCCCAATTAAAATCAGCACACATACGCACTTTAGCTTTATGACAATCCCCTGAAGCTCTTGATACTTCATCCAAAGGGACTGCCCCATGTTCTCTTGCTTCCTTGAAAATTTCATCGACAATTTTGTTGGGAGTTATATTGGACGATCCAACTACCTGGAGCCCCCTATATTCTGAATCACCTGAATAATATCTTTAAACACACACACAGACAGAGTATTAATCAGTGAGTTTTTCAGTAACATTCAAAGATAACTATATTCCAACCAAAATACTGCTACCAAAACAAAGGCAAGCGTTTTTTTTGAACAGTCAGCAATTCTCCAAGTAAGTTTCTGAGTTCTCTATACCTTTTTTTGTTTTGTTTTAAGAACTGTAATACTGTAATACACTGTATTATTGTACTGATGAAGGTTAAGTAATCATATTACATATTATCACTGCAGGACTGAAAATAATCTGCCAGAATTCAAAATGTAAGGCCAAATAAACCTCAAATTCAATTTACCAGTTAAATAAAAAGTTTAGCAAAGGGCTTAGCTTACTTTGATTGAGCTTTTTGGATTATTTTACTAAAGGGTAAAGCAAGTGAAAACCCAAAATCAGAATAGTTAAACAACTGGAAATTGTTTAGAAGGTACATTCATTGTTAACCCACAAACTCAAGGCTTCATAATGGAAAATATAATTGAACAAGAAAGAGGACCCACGAAACCCGCGCGGGGGGGGGGCTCCAAACTGAGCAGGCGGAGGAGGAACCAGCAGGAGCAGGAAAGCTCCCCCCATCCCACTGGTTTCTCCGTCTCCTCCACCCCCCGGCTCGATCTCCCCCCTCCCGCCTCATCCCCCCCTGCTCCGAACCGAGGCCCGAGCAGC